TGATTGTTCAATACTTTGTAAAAGATAATTTGTGATAAATTTATATGTGTCCTCTAATTATTTTCCTATTTCGGCGGGGGACATCAGCCTCACTGTTGGCTTGTTATTAATCTTTGTATCGAGAATTTTGCAAAATGGTGTCCAAAAATTAAAGGAGACGGAACCCAAATTTCAAATTTTAGTTGGGGAGGCATTCGAGTTAAGGAGGCACAAACCTGCCATTAAATTTGGGATTGTTTATGGGGAACCAAAAGCATCACAATATTTCTAACAGGAAAAGAGATTATTGACACAAAAGCACACAATATGTTATTGTACATAGCAATCACCCAAATTATTTAAAGGGACCATCCCTGTGTACGTATGAAATTTAAGCGCTAAAATATAGAGCAATGGTGTATTTACCTTGTCCTAAAATTTCAGCTCAAAATATATATTGAGTCATTTGGACGTGAACGTAACTCTTTTAAGATTGCAGGTCATTTTATTTTGTTGGGTGACCTGATAATCTATTGCCGTTCCTCTAGAGTTCTATACAGTGCATCACTCACGTGCTCTACTTGATACTCGTTATTTTTATAAAATAAAAGTCTGGTTTTATCCAGACACCAGTCTCCATTTCCAGATGAAGACCGACGGGTTTAAGTTGTTTGAAAACGTATCACATATATTGAGTTAGTTGCTCGGCCCTAAGGTAGAGGATTTTAAGCGCTTGTAAAACAAAATTAAGCAGTTTTATTCTCCAATATATAATTGAGATTGGCCCTATAATACATGTACATGTAAAATAATGGGCTTACTATCAAGTAAAATGTTTGAATAATCTTCAAAAGGCATCATTTTGTTGATTAAGAAACCAACCAATCTTCAGAAGGCATCAATTTCCTTAGTACAGACAAATTGAACCCTTCTGAAGATTGATTGATTTCTTAATCAACAAGTAACGCTTAACCGTTTGTAATTTATTGATATATAAGGTTGGTTTATTACTTTATCGGAGCCACGGTGGCTAGGTGGTTAAGACACTGGCTCGCTAGCCTGGAGGTTGGGTGTTAGATCCCTGCATTGGCCGAGAAAGTTCATCTGGATTTTCCGACGTGGTTTCCCCTTGTCAGTGGTGGCGCAGAACGGAGGGCCTGACAAGGTCAGCTGTCTAGTCTTTCGGATGAGACGAAAAACCGAGATCCCGTGTATACATTGGAATGCATGTAAAAGATCCCTTGGCAGTTGGAATTCGATATAAGAGTAGGCGATAGTGCCGCTGCGCGGGCAAAATTTCCCTCATAGCACACTGTATGGCGTATGCCCGTCTTCATTAGCCCAGGTTAGGAGCAGAACAGTAGGACGTTAAACCCCATTTCATTTCATTTTATTACTTTATCAATCGGGTTTGTCAAACATTCACAGTTAAAACTGACTATAGTCAGCTGATTAAGATCCCTGGTTCAGTCGTCTTCAATATAAGGCTTGATCTTGCTTAACCTCTGTACATGTTATTAGTTAATGCCTTCATGTAATACCCTGCATTTTTTGGTGTAATTTCGATTGGGTACCCAACTTGAGAGCCTGTTAGATTTCTCGATCATCGCGAATACCAAAATGTTTCTCACTTTCTAGCTAAAGTGTCTACCTGTAATAATCAAGATGCGAAGTTCAAGATTCGTTCAATGTCAAGGTTTCTATGGAGGTTGCTATATTTGATTTGAGTGTGTTAGTGTCACAACCTCTGATTGGATGACACTGTTCCTGTGTCTGCAGTAATTAAAGAGAGAAAAATAGTTCGGAAATTTGAAAACTAATCTAGCAATATCCAGATATTGTAAAACTTGCAGTCATTGCTTTAGCCAGGAACATGGGGAACAGTGTGTTTGATGACTGTATTAAAGATACATTATGTAAGATTTAGATAAAGAGCTAGCCATTCTTGCTATTATAATAATTCGAAAATAAATAATGTAAAATGAATAATTTGAAAAATTCATTCAAATTATTCTATTGCAAGCGAAGATATTAGCCTTGGAAGGTTTGACAAGACCTGTGCACTAATTTCAACTACCGTACTGGTTATTTGAAGCTAAGTCTCTCTCCTCCATTTTTAGCTTAAATCAAAATATGGCTGAACTGTTCTAATCTATTTAATATCGGAGAAATCCGATGCCATCGAGAGTTGATTATGGCCTGGATAAGTTAATTAATGTCTAATTAATGATTTAGAAAACAGTTCAGGCCTAAAGAAAGACCTGCAATAGGCAGATTTAGCTCTTGCATAATGTATGTTTAAGAATTGGTTGATCCAGGGGTACAATGTCTCACCCCTTTAATATACAATAATAAGACTAGATACTGTGTCATTTGTAAATGGAAGATTTCATTAAAATGAATTATGTAAGATAAAGAGCTGACCATTCTTGCTATAATACATGTAGTTCAAAAATAGATAATTCAAAAATGCATCTCATATTGTTTTCATCTGCCTATCTGCAATAGCTCAGTTGGTTCAGAAAAGTAGGATGTTAATTTACCCATTTCATTTTAACTCATGACAGAATTATATGGATTACAAAGTTACTTGATAGATTTATTTCTCTCGTCTTTATCAAGAAAGGATTTCCTTTCATCTGCCCATCATCAATAGCCCATCAGAGAAGCAGAATGTCAAACCCCATTTCATTTGTTTTCAGTTCCTTTCATCTGCTATTGACATCGGGTAAAGATAACATTAAGCTGTTGTTGAGGTTTAAGGAGCGTAGTTTGTGTGATTGTGAGAAATCAACCACTTAATTAAAATGTAAAATACATGTAGCAATTAAAGGGCAGAAATGTTTCTAACACACTAGAAGCCATCTTAAAAATCAATGAAATGTCTGATATCAAATGACTGCTTTTCATTCAAAAATCAATAATTTTTTAGTCTTGATAAAGCCAAGAAAATCATTTGAAGTAGTGAATGTATTGATGTCCTATTTATAGAAATGAAATGGGTTAACTTGCTGTGCATACTGAACTTAGACTGCCTGTCTACAGTTAGCTCCACTTGAGAACAGACATAAAGATAGTTGACAGACATTTTAAGTCCTAAATCAACGATTTTAGTCAAAAACACTTAAGTAAAGTTCGGGAAATTGGAGACAAATTTAATGAAATTGAATAGCTCTATTTATTCTTTGTGTGTATACCAGATGTGAAATGGAGTAGAACCACATTGTCATTAAAAAACAATGTACTAAGTTTTGGATATGGCGGCCATTAAGGACAGAGATTTATTCTTGCAGTATGAAGTATACCTAGATGGATCTCTGTGTGCAGAATGCTTGCTGTACTGTTCTGCACCGACTGGTCTAATAATAGAGAGTTTTTGCAACTTTATATATACATGTAAAGTAGATAAAGTACAAGCACTTTTATGTTTACGGTAGATAAATACATAAATAGATACAAAATACGTCCAGGTATAAGATTCATCACTTTACTTCATGCTGACGACATATTCATTAAATCTAATAAGCTAGCTGTCTGGCCTCAGATATTAATAATGGATACAAAAGATTAAATATTTACCATAAATACATTCGTAGAATAATAGATTTCCATGGCAATGGATTAAAGATAATATCAGGTAACATACAACAAAGGGTTATAAAATATTGTGTTCCTTCTATAATCTGACAATAGTACAATACAGGAGTAATGAGATGAAATAAATGTCCATTGAAATGAAATGAAATGGGGTTTAACATCCTACTGTTCTGCTCCTATACAGTGTGCTATGAGGGAAATTTTGCCGGGGCAGCGGCACCATCACCTACTCTTATATCGAATTCCAACTGCCAATGGATCTTTTACGTGCATTCCAATGTATACACGGGACCTCGGTTTTTCGTCTCATCCGAGGGACTAGACAGCTGTCCTTGTCAGGCCCTCCGTCATGCATCACTGATACAGTAAGGGGGAACCACGCCGGAAAATCTGAATGAACTTTCTCGGCCAATGCAGGGATCTAACACCCGACCTCCAGGCTTGCGACCCAGAATCTTACCCACTTGCCACGGGATCCCCTAAATGTCCATAGATCAATTATATCAATTATGTAATTTGGCTGTAGGCTTAATCTTTCATTAGGATTTATATCAATTCTTTTCTCTAATAAGCTGATAATAAAAACAAATTAATGAATTACAGGGTTCAAAATCTCCTTATACAGTGTCGAGGTAAAAACTCCAAAAACATTTATTAAACATGCATTATGCAAGAGCTAAATCTGATTATTGCAAGTCTTAATTTAGGCTTCAGATGTTATAGAAATTATAAATTAGATCTTTATTTAAACAACAAGACCAAAATCAACTCTGTAGACCCACGGATGGCTCGGCTACAGCTCGGATTTAAATAATTGATTAAATCAAATAAGGGGTATAACCTGATTAAAATACGTCAGTAAGATCGAGGCTAAATGATAGAGTGTACTTAGCGAGGCCGCTGTAAAGCGTTTCCGTATGCCATTGAAAACTTTACTTGATAATCGAGATATGTAGGTGGAGTTAACGCTTGTCAATCAAACGATCAGCGAAGGTGAAGACGCATTTCGCTACCATTTTTAGTCAAATATTACAACGATGATAACTATGTTCAGAATAAAGTAATTTGACTGAATGTTTCAATATATTCTTCTTTCATCATCTACTTTTGAACTGTTATAGCAAGAATGGCCAACTCTCTATAAAAATCTCCCATAATGTATCTTTAAAGATTTGTTTAAATATTATTAGAATATTAACAGGGTAGGGTGGAAGCCTCAATTGTAAGGTGGAACCAAGCTAGGAAATCAATGCAGGGATCAAACACCCGACCTCCAGGCGAGCGAGTCGGCGTCTTACCCACTTAGCCACCATGACCCCCACTGGGATAGGACCTTGAGCCTTAGGGAGTCTGATCCCTGAGCCACTGTGGCACCTTCAGTAATCAGGTTTAACGTATAAAAGTCATCTTTTAATATTTTTCAGATGAGTCATTCCCAGAGAAAATGTTTGTTTTTGGTCGAATTATAACATGTGGTAATATTACTCAGGGTTTATTTCCCTCCAAAACATGGACATGTGCTGACATAAGGTAAGGATACAATTCAAAAGTGCTATCAGATGTTCTGATAAAAAAAAATCAGGCATACCCAGCAATTCAAAAGGACAACTCTATAACTACAGTGGACTCTTGTCACATCCGACCGATGAATAATCCGGCACTCTGTGAAATCCGACATCATTTTCATGTCCCGATTTATTTCCTTATTATTTCAACCAAAAAATCTTTGTGTAATCCGTACTCTGAATATTCCAAATTACGACATCAATCGGCCTTCCCGTCACATAATTTCCATTGAATCAACACTGTATAACCCGGCCTTAAATCAGTGGGTGTGAAGCCACAAAAGATTAACAAGCAATCACCAATTAATTATAGGTGATATTAAAACTCGCTTGCATAGGTCTTTGTTGATTAATTTGATAATTTTATAATCTCTTGTAAGACAGTTGTGACAAATACTAAAGAATACCCACGAATTTACCCCCGAATTATTCACAGTCGTAAAAATATTCCTAGCACCTGTTGGAAACATTCGTTGCACATGCCGATTAAACCTGAAAACCTAAGTTTGTTCACCCTACAGAAAGATTTATCATTTTTATAGGGAATAACGTTCTGGGGATTCGAAGCTACATTATAAAATACTTCCGGTTTTCGAAGTTACAATAATACTTCAAATTTTGAGAAAACTGAGTATTCCGACACTCTGCGAAATCCGACACATTGTAACGATCCCATACGATGTCGGATTTGACAGAGTCCACTGTAGTTAGTTGTGAACTCCCCAAAGGAGAACTGGTATCAAGTGTTCGAAATGAATAAGCATACTCTGCCTTGTGCACAACAATTCAAAAGTACAACAATATTAAGTTAACTACATGTATATGTCAACTCCCCAAATTAGAAGTTGTACCAGGTGATCTTAAAATAATTATCATACTCTGCCATGTCCCAAGACTATTAAAAAGTACAACAATATTAAGTTAGCTATATGTCAACTCACCATACCAGGTGTTCTTAAAAGAATTATCATACTCTACCATGTCCAAGACTATTAAAAAGTACAACAATAATGAGTTAGCTAATGTTCCAGAGTGAATAAGGGTCGCAGTGGGTAAGACGCTGGCTCGCTAGCCTGGAGGTCAGTTGTTCGATGTTCGATCCCTGCATTGTCCGAGAAAGTTCACCTCGATTTTTCGGCGTGGTTCCCCCTTGTCAGTGATACAGGATGGAGGGCCTAACATGGACAGCTGTCTAGTCATTCGGATGAGACGAAAAACCGAAGTCCCCTTTACACATTGGCATACACGTAAAAGATCCCTTGACAGTTGGAATTCGATATATGAGTAGGCCGTAGTGCCGCTGTCCAGGCAAAATTTCCCTCATAGCACACTGTATGGTGTATGCCCGTCTTCATTAGCCCAGTTTGGAGCAAAACAGTAGGACGTTAAACCCCATTTCATTTCATTTCCAGAGTGAATAAGCATACCCATTCAATGCTAATTAGTTACCTATGTGAACTCCTCAAATGAGAAATAGTATCTGATGTTCTAGAAATAGTAAAAGAGAGAGAAATGGGGTTTAACGTCCACTCGACACAAAATAGGTCATTTCGGGACTAACATGGTTCAATTTTATTTCAATAATTGGCTTGCACGTAGGGGTCTTTAGCAGTAGGAGGAAACCTGCGGACCCAGAGAAAACCCACAAGGTTGGACAGGCGACCCTACTCCTTGTCACGTTCAACCGGGGATTCGAAACCACGCCAGTTGAGTCAATGACTGGCCTTATGATACAGCACGTACGTGTTAACCATTCGGCCATCCAAACCCCTCTCTAGAAAGAGTAAGCATACCCAGTCATGTACATAACATCCATATTGACATAGCTAACTTGAGCTATGGCTTGAATACAATTTTTCGATACAGAAATTTTAATGATAGAAAAAATTAAAGTAGGATACAAGAGTAAACAAATGGGGCAGGGGAAGGTACATGTACTGCACCGGTACTGAAAAATCCATCTAGAATTCACAGGTAAGCTTTATATAGCGTCCCTTGGGTGTTTTTCAGTTAATCCGGTATCTCCTTTCCATACCAAACTTACCATACTTTTATTTGAAATGACAACTTTCGTTGTAATGTATCTTTAAATGATGTATGACTCTATTTTGTTTAACCTTGAAATAGACATAAATGGTTCTAAAAGCACAAATCAATGTAATGTGAATGTACGTAAAGTGATTTATATTCAATTTTAGAAAAAAATATTGTAATTTCTAATCAATTATGTTCGGTGAAATAAGTGAAAAGTTCAAATTGAAGGGCAGTCGTTTACACCTGTTTATAGTGCATTCTACACGTTTTTTAAATTATTATTTTGTCGTTTGTGAATCAGCCTTTACTAATTACTTGTACATCGTGTTGTAGGATGTTTTTATTTGTTCATTACAAAATGGCACCCGAAACATGGGTACCCGACTCATGTATTGATAAATGAAAATTGTGTCTTAAATTTTAAATATTGGATATTAAGATCCTATAGTTTAACGGCAAGATAACAACACCAATAATACTGATTGAAACTGATAAATATTGAATTCTAATTTGTGTTTTTAATTTCAAATATTATGGAAAATTTGAGTTAGATGTTAACCACTCGTCTGTATAACTTATTTATATTATTTCAGTGTAAATGGTGCTAATTTAGCATATGGCTATAATATAGGAAGTCTGGGTGTGGTTGAATGCCAGGAAACAAAAGGAAAACATGAATTTGCCACCCTATGTCGAGAATTATTATCACTTATAGATGTTAAAACACCATTATGGGCTGTATATGTAAGTTAAATACTCCTATTTGAAAATTTAGATTTTCCAGCGTGGTTTCCCATTGTCAGTGGTGCAGAACGAAGGACCTGACAAGGAAGGGATGCAAAAACCAAGGTCCTGTGTACACATTGGTATTCAATATAAGAGTAGGTTGTAGCCAGAGGTTGCAGTGGATCAATTTCAAGTTGTGTAAAAATATGCAGACATTCCAAAATTTTGTGTTTTTGCCCTCGACATCTGCGTGACTTAGAGCCTCTCAAAATACTCAATATAGAAGCATGTAAAGTCGTTTTGTGAACAACCCCTTTTTTAAGCGTCCTTATTTTATTGATATGCCTACTGTATTTAGTCTAATGACGACTGGAGGTTAACGGCATGTGACGGCATGTCTATGGTTGATGGCTCATTCATTTCAATCTTTCACTTCGACAGGACATAAAGAGAAAACTATCGCTATGAAAGCCAACATTTGATTGGCTGAATGTAAACAGTATATTGTGTTCTAGCCAATCCCAAGTCGTGTATGAAATGCGCTTTATTGCTTCCAATAGGATAGTTATGTAGGCTTACTGCCATGAACTTATGAATGAAATAAGAGGAAATATAAAAAAATACGGAGACTACGTGCAGTAGAGGAGTGTAAATGCCAGGTGAAGCACATAAATTGTACAAACTACGACATAGAATAATCTAATTATTCTCACGTTGGGGAAATTTTCTGCATGTAAATTACGCAGCGTCCGTCAATATTTGCGTTTATTTTGAAAAAAATGTGTGAAATATGCGGATTTTTGCGTGACTGCGACCTCTGGCTGTAGCATACTGTATGATGTATGCCCGTCTTCATTAGCCCTGTAGGAGCTGAACAGTAGGTCATTAAACCTCATTTCATTTCATAACTATCTGTGTTTGAAAATTCAAATGCGGTTTAATGTCTACTTCTCTGCAAAGACTGGGCTTATGAAGACGGGCATACGCCATACAGTGTGCTGTGAGGTAAATTTTGGCCAGACAGTGGCACTACGACCTACTCTTATATCATATTCCAGCTGTCAAGGGATCTTTTACGTGTACATCAATTTCTACGCAGGACCTAAGTTTATCATACAATCTGAAAAAATGACACTGGTCTTACCAGGCCCTCCGTCCTGCACCACTGACAATACAAAACCATGTTGTAAAATCTTGGGAAACTTTCTCGACGAACACCAGAATCAAACACCGAATCTCCTGGTTAGGGAGCGAACCACCGAGGCTCCCATGAAAAAAATAATAATATAATCTTTATTCAGATCTCACAATGAGACATATGAATACAATTTACAAAAATAGTTCATTCAATCAATGGCAGATTTGGGACAATACACTTCATTCATATTTAAGTTATGAAAATAGATCTTACTTTGTTATATTTATCAGGTTGATCATTTAATTAATTTACATATTTTCCAACAGATTTATTATTAATTAATTCTATTAATTTCTCAAAGATTGCCAACTCAATTCCTTTAATTATACTTTTCAGGGGGGTTGGATGGTCGAATGGTTAGCACGTGCGTGCTGTATCATAAGGCCTGTCATTGAGTCAACTGGCTTGGTTTCGAATCCCTGGTTGTACGTGACAAGGAGTGGGGTCGCCAGTCCAAACTAGTGGGTTTTCTCCGGTCCTCAGGTTTCCTCCCACTGCTAAAGACCCCTACATGCAAGCGAATTACTGAAATAAAATTAAACCATATGTTAGTCCCGAAATGACCTAGTTTGTGTCAAGTGGACGTTAAACCCTATTTCTCTCTCTCTTTATTTATACTTTTCTGACAGATTGTCGACCTAATTTACCTAATTATCCATAGAAATAATAATAATTAACTTTCTTAATACTTAAATATCAGGTAATTATGGTAATGAAGTCTGTAATAGCTTTAAGGTTAACCAGGTATGAGAACTAAGCATGGTGCCAATTAAATTGCCATATCTCTTCAAGTACTTGTTAAAATAGACATTATTACACATATAACGCAACAGTATCTCATTAGCATTGGTGTAAAACGGCTTGTATTTCCAATTGAGGGGGGGGGGTGGCCTAATGGTTTAGAGTGGCACGCTTTGAGCTCAAGCTGGCTAGCCACCCCAGCTTGCCATCTTGGTTTTAATCCCAGGTGTGAACGTCTGTGGCTTGGAGAATGGGCACCTTCTCAAACTTGTGGGTTTACTCCGAGCTCTAAGATAATATAAATAAAAATAAGACAACTTGTCTGCGATAACACCCTTGGTGGAAGCAGACATTAAACACTAAGAACAACAACAACAGGAAGTCCTGGTTTGGATCAAAGTTCCACAGGATTTTACAACCTGATTTTTCCATTGTCAGTGGCGCAGGGCGGAGGTTCTGGCAAGGAAAAAGGGTGCTAGTCGTTTGGGTTTACAGAACATAATTTTTATGGAAAACAATGATGGTTTTATTCTAAAATCCGGACATTTTGACAAGTATCCTCTCATCATTATCAACCAAATTTCATTTGGTTTTCCTCAAAAATTTGTTACAAGCATGGGAACCACAGGTCTCAGTGAGCAAGACGACAGCTCACTAGCCTGAAGGTCCTGTGGCCGATTCTGGAGTTAGTTGAGAAAGTTCATCTGGATTTTCCAGAGTGGTTCCCCGTCAGTGGTGTAGGATGGAGGGCCTGGCAATAGACAACATATAGTCATTTGGATGGGACACTGTATGGCATATGCCTGTCTTCATTAGCCCAGTTCGGAGCAGAACAGTTGGACATTAAACCCTGTTTCATTTATTTCATTTCTAAGCCATGTAGCTGATAATTCCCCAGTTGTATGTGACAAGGAGTAGGGTCGCCTGTCCAACCTCATGGGTTTTCTCCAGTTCCTCCAGTTTCCTCCCACTGCTAAAGACCCCTACGCGCAAGCGAATAATTGAAATTAAATTAAACCATGTGATAGTCCCGAAATGACATAGTTTGTGTCGAGTGGAGTTAAACCCCATCTCTCTCTCTCTGTCCCTCCCTCTCTCTCTCTCTGTAGCCTATACACAATGGATTGACTGATAAAGCTTCACATCCTGTAACATGGTAATCAATAAAACATGATTTCTGTCTACCTAGAAACCCATGTAATGCCTTACAAATTGTTGACAATTTACATAAGCACTGACAATTATATATGGCTTCATCTTTCACAATTTCTACATAATTAAAGCATTTGTTTTTGTCGATGTACCGTAGCTTAATTAGACTTCGACGAACAGACAGGATTAAAGGAATCCATTGATCGAGGAGAAGTTAAAAAATATATTGTGTTAATGGACTGTACATTAGTTTTTTTACAATAAATTATTGGGATTCTCTTCCAGATATCCTGCTTTTCACACGACAACATTTTTGATCATATTCCAATAAATAGTTTTGTCGGTGTAGCTTTATTAGACGTCAAGCTTTGAAACAATCTATTGATCGATGAGAAGTTAAAAAAAATATATTACATTACTGTTTTTACAAATAAATGAAAGAGGACGTCATGTGTGGCTGACATTCTGCTTATCACACAACCATTTATAGTGATTAGTCCTATTGCAAAGGGGGATCACGGTGGCTAAGTGGGTAAGATGCTGGCTCGCTAGCCTGGAGGTCGGGTGTTCAATCCCTGCATTGGTCGAGAAAGTTCAACCAGATTTTCCGGCCTGGTTCCCCCATGTCAGTGATGCAGGACGGAGGGCCTGACAAGGACAGCTGTCTAGTCATTCGGATGGGACGAAAAATCAAGGTCCTATGTACATATTGGTGTGCACGTAAAAGATCCCTTGACAGTTGGGATTCAATATAAGTGTAGGCCGTAGTGCTGCTGTCTGGGCAAAATTTCCCTCATAGCACACTATATGGCGTATGCCCGTCTTCATTAGACCATTTCGGAGCAGAACAGCAGGATGTTAAACCCCATTTCATTTCATTTCCAATTGCAAAGATAAATTCCATTTTAAAACAAGAACATGAACATTAATATGTAAACTTTGGAGACTGGTCGATAAATTAACACATTTGTAAGTAAAGTTCAAACTTTATGTAAAGTCACACTTCATTTAGAATACAGGAGCCACAGTCGCTCAGTGACTAAGGCACTGGCTTGCTAGTCTGGAGATGGGAGGTATAATCCCGGTGTTGGCCTATAAAGTTAATTGAGATTTTCAGGCGTGGTTTCCCCTTGTCAGTGGTGCAGTATGGACAGCTGTCTAGTCATTTGGATTGGACAAAAAACACATTAGGTCCTGTGTACACATTGTATGTAAGAGATGCCTTGGCAGTTTGAATTCAATATAAGAGTAGGCTATAACGCTGCTGTCCAAACAAAATTTATCTCATAGCAAACTGTATGGCATATGCCCGTCTTCATTAGCCCAGTCGGAGCAGAACAGTAGAACGTTAAAACCCATTTCATCTCATTTCATTTAGAATACATTTTCAGTACTTTTATGACGCAGGACAATTTATCCAACACTACCCAATACCACCAAATACTAACTAAACACTACCAAATACCACCAGATATTAGCTCAATATTGTAAAAATACTTCAATTATCTAAAAAACATAATAAATAAATAAATAATCAATTTGTGTAATTAGCAAAATATTTACTATTTATAGTATCAGTACCTGGTACCTCGAGCATCTGAAAGTCTAGCCAAATATGACCACATACCTCCCAATTCTATCCCAATACTACAGCATTCAACCACATACATATACTACCTGCATGTATATATAACAATTATCCAAAACTGGGAGAATTATGCAATTACTTCAAGATCAGTGGGTTAATTACTATAATAAGTGCAAACATTTAATACATCTATTTTTAGTATCAGTGATAAATGAAATGGCTAAACATTGAATAAATGATTTATTTTCAACAAATAAACGTATTGTTATTCAAATAATTGTACATTTATTATTTGAGTAATATTGGCTCATTGATTTCTGATGGTGTGGGTTAATATTTGTTAGTATTTCATGATCAAGGGAGGTAACTGAAAAAAATCGAGACCCCTGGCCATATATATTTGCAAGTTTCCCCGAATGAACTCAATTTGTATATAATTGTATTCTGCTGGTTTTTCACAATATTGAGCTAGCATGTGGTGGTATTTAGTAGTATTTAGTTAGTATTTAGTGGTATAAGGTAAATCGTCCTCTTTTATGACGAATACACAAACTGTTAAAGGCTCAATACCACTCTTGTTGTAACTGAGTAATATGTCCCAATCTTTATTCTGGTCAACAATTTGTACTATTTTACAATATTCCAATTAATTGATGATACAAATTTCATTTTAACACACCTAATTTAAAAAATTGGAAAAATTCAACTAAATGATTTGAAAAGCCTGACGTAAAGCTTTTCAAATGTGACTTGGATTTAAAAATATTTTTGAACCCTCTGGACAAGTAAAATAGGATTTAATGGATAATTTACACAACAGGTAGGACACTAACACATCTAGTACTTAGAATAAGGCTATTTTTTATTTTCTGGAGCTGTCAAGCCAGCAAGAGTGTTATTGTCCTTTTAACATGGTTTGAATTCCACAAGATCGAAAGCTGCTGTCCAGTCCACCTTCATTAGCCTGGTTGGTGCAGAACAATAGAACATTCATTAAACCTCATTTCATTTCATTTCTCTCCACTAACTCAGTTATGTATATAAATATTATGATTATATTTCAGATTCCAAAAGCAACGTGTGCAAAAGATCCCAGAAATCGGGCTATCCTAACTAAAACTGGCAATTCTGAATTTGTTTGGGAAGACAGAGAGCCAGGCTATGGATACATTCATACGATACAGTGTATGGTGAAGCATGATTTATGACTTGGTGAAGCATGATTTATGACTTGGTGAAGAATGATTTATGACTTGGGGAAGTGTGAAATATGACTTGGTGTAGCGTGAAATATGTCTTGGTGAAGTGTGAACTATTACTTAGTGAAGCATGACATACATTACTTGGTGAAGAGTGTCACTTCGTTGAACCCAGACATACATTACTTGGTGAAGGGTGAGACACATTACTTGGTGAAGGGTGAGACAAATTACTTGGTGATGTGTGAAGAATTACCTGGTAAACCCTGATATACAATACTTGGTGAAGGGTAACACTTGGTGAACCCTGACATATATTACTTGGTGAAGTTTGATTTATAACTTGGTGAAGCGTGATAATCTACTTCTAATATTAATTATTAAAGTGTGAAATAAATAACTTACTTGAGTGCAATGTTGAAGGGCCAATCCCAATAATATTTTGGAGAATAAAACTGCTTAATTTTGTGTTAAAATCCCTTAAAATCCTCTACCTTAGGGCCGAGCAACTAACTCAACATATGAGATACGTTTTCAAACAACTTAAAACCTGTCAGTCTTCATCTGGAAATGGAGACCGGTGCCCCAAGCTTTATTATGTGGTGTCTGGATGTAACCAGACTTTTATTTTATAAAAATAATGTGTAGGAGAAATTTATCTTTCGTTATCAAGTACAGCACATGAGTCATTCATTGTATAGACTTTTGACGGAACGGGAATCGATTATCAGGCCATCCAACGAAAAAATTTACCCGAAATCTTAAAAGGGTTACGTTTCCGTATAAGCAGTTTTGACGTTCACGCCCAAACGACTCAATATTTTGAGCTGAAATTTTGAGGCAAGATAAATACACCATTCCACTATATTTTGGCGCTTAAATTTCATATGTATTCAGACTTTTATTTTTGAGACTCTGTTCAAATCGGAACAAATGTATGATTCATTGTTTGGTGATTGGGAAATGTGTTCTGTGTGTTTTAGTGCTAAAGATCCAATAAAATGAACCTGTTTAACATTTGATTTAAATGAACTGGATCAACTTTAAAAGCATCATGAACTTTAAAAAGGTCATGAACTGTATGAACTTTAAAAAGGTCATGAACTGTATGAACTTTAAAAAGGTCATGAACTGTATGAACTTTGACCTATAAAACCATGCATATCATCCATGAACTATCAGTCATGAAACAGATGGGGTGTTACATATTGGGAGTGTTAGACCAGGAACTCTTTGCATACAGCTGGTAATCATCTTGTTCTTGGAGGTGATGCTCTGAAAATAAAAACCCAAAACTCCCCCAATTCGAGTACAATTGACATGAAGCTTTGCATACTTGTTCTTTGGACATATGTGTTCATCTACTGATGGACTTCAATTTTTGTTATGATGCTCCAATTCCAAGAGGACTGTGAGAATGTCATGTTCAGGTGCTTGTTTGAAGAATTTTTTTGTTGACTTTCACATCATTTCTTTTCCAATAAATTCCAATAACACCTGAATAATGTTGACCTTTAAATTTGACAGGTAAATGTCCATTGATTAATTTGAAACCCTGTGATTTTAAGCCTATAAACTTGTACAACAATAGGCTACTGTTTTTTATCTGAAAATGTACCGCAATGTCAGGTACAAACATGCCGAGTCATAGTATTTTTATTTGAGCATTATTTGCAAAACTGGAACATTTTATGGAAACTGTGTTTTTATCTGAAAATGTACCGCAATGTCAGGTACAAACATGCCGAGTCATAGTATTTTTATTTGAGCATTATTTGCAAAACTGGAACATTTTATGGAAACTGTGTCTTTCCCAGCCATGCCCACCCACTCCCCTTCTGCTACAAGGAATATTGGTCTAAACAAACTAGCGTTGTACAGAAATTTAGTTACATCTTATGATTGCCTGAGATGGGGATTATTAATTAGTTCATTAATATTAAAATAGTCCCAGTAACAATCCCCCAGAATCTTATTGCGGATCGCTACATTGTTTATATATTTTTAGATTTTCATAAACCATATATCTTTTTCAAATAACAATTTCTGTGGTTTATTTCACTGTGATGTTTCACATAATAATATGTCTTTTTGACTCTTTAAAGTTACATTATATAAGAGCTAAAACAGCTTATTGCAGATATTTCATTTGACCTCTTATGTTATGTAAATCATTAATTAGATATTTATTCACATGCCGGGGGGTTGGATGGCTGAATGGTTAGCGTGCACGTGCTGTATCGTTAAGTCTGTCATTGAGTCGACTGGCGTGGTTTCGAATCCCCGGTTGTACGTGATTCGATGATATACATGTATCTAGATTAAAAACATATTCAAACTATGTAATTTATTAAACATTTGCTTCAAATCCCTCTTAAAACGGGGGGTTGGATGGCTGAATGGTTAGCGTGTGTGCATTGTATCATAAAGTCTTTTATTGAGTCAACCGGCGTGGTTTCGATTCCCCAGTTGTACGTGACAAGGAGTAGGGTCGCCTGTCCAACCTCGTGGGTTTTCTCCGGGTCCTCCGGTTTTCTCCCACTGCTAAAGACCCCTATGCGCAAGCGAATTATTGAAATAAAATTAAACCATATGTTAGTCCCGAAATAACCTAGTTGTGTCGAGTGGACGTTAAACCCCATTTCTCTCTCTCTCTCTCTATTCACATGCCAAGCCCATCTATATCATCAAATGGTTTGTTTTCAATAGATATAAACACGATTGTCAGTTAATAATTTGATTTAAAATAGAAAGTTAGATTTGTACTTGAAAAGGACATCTGAAATATTGTCAAAACCGTTTTGTGTAATTCTAGTAATTTATCCCCAAATAACACATTCTACAGTAGATATCGCTTATGTGATAACTTTCATATCTCTTTACATGAATTTGATTTATATATAAAGAATTATATATATTTATTTGTGCGTGTAAGAAAGGGTTGGGTGATAAACAAAATCTTCTACTCGTCTTTTTTGATATCAAAAAAAGACACGTAGGAGATTCTCTGTATAATAATATAAGTTAATTTGCTAAATGCCTCTGAAGGATTGTGTACGAATGTATGGGGTGTTCCCACTTTGCCGGCAGGCTTTGATGTCAAATTTTGCCGCTAACCCAGGGTTGATCCTAGAATAATGGTGTTATAAACTACAGTATAGTCCATATCTTTTTTAAGAATAAAAATGTATTGATTTTAACAAATTTAACTTTTATTAAATAACATTAAATAATTTACACATATAAAAATGTATTGATTTTAACAAATTTAACATTATTAAATAACATTAAGTAATTTACACATATAAAAATGCATTACAATTTACACATTTAACTTTTATTAAATAGCATAATATAATTTATAAATAAATGCCTTACAACATAACAATCTTTTACAGCCCCATTAAATAAGATATATTTATATTAATATATTGAATTGAATTCATGTTTGAAGGCATAACGCGGACATGAACTGTGTTCAAAATGTCATTAATTAGTTGGTTAATAAATTTTATTAAGAGGGATTAAGAGCTCATTAACGCTGAACACTAATGGACGGTTCTTGAATGACTACTTTTAAACAGAGAATAGTTTTAAGATCAATTATAGGATTAACAGTCTGCCGGCATAGTGGGACACACCGAATGTATTGCTTTATTATATATTTTTAATACATAAAATAATAATGTATTGATATGTACATGTATACATTGTTAGGTAACCTTTACATACTAATGTATTGTTATGTATCTTTACATGTACATGTATTCATGTATTGTTATGTATCTTTTACATGTATCTGTTTATGGATCTTTTATGTACGAATATATTGGTTTATGGATCTTTTACATGTTTCAGTTATATACCAGCTGTTTACTTATCAGACTCCATACGTTCAACATTCACAATGTAGACAGTATTCAAACATCAACACAAGCTTTTGTTGTCTAGACTCTAGATACTGGAAGGGTTGGGGATAGGTAGAAAACTGGTTTTGTAGTCCCTGCTGATAAATAAACCGCATAGAATTTTACCGCCTTTACCACCCACGCTACTAGTAACATGATAATATTTATGGTTTATACACAAAAAAAAAAATAATAATAACAAACCATAGGTATATCTGTTTCAAATTCATGTCAATAATATTCCTGCATAACTGTCGTTTATTCGATGTATACTGACAGTGAAACGTCCATGATAACAATAGTTCATAATGTCTAAACATCCTTTATCGTCTTTATAACAGGGTATTTTAATTATTACATCGACTGCTTTTCTCAACTAAAGGGGGGGATCACGGTGGCTAAGTGGGTAAGGCGCTGGTTCGCTAGCCTGGAGGTCGGGTGTTCGATCCCTGCATTGGCCGAGAAAGTTCATCCAGATTTTCCGGCGTGATTTCCCCTTGTCAGTGATGCAGGACGGAGGGCCTGACAAGGACAGCTGTCTAGTCGTTCGGATGGGACGAAAAACCGAGGTCCCGTGTACACATTGGCGTGCACGTAAAAGATCCCTTGGCAGTTGGAATTCGATATAAGAGTAGGCCATAGTGCCGCTGCCCGGGCCAAATTTCCCTCATAGCACACTGTACGGCGTATGCCCGTCTTCATTAGCCCAGTTTAGGAGCAGAACAGTAGGACGTTAAACCCATTTCATTTCATTTCTCAACTAAAGGCATCACAGACGTCCACGTACTATCAGGTCCTGGGGCCTGTTTCACGAAATTTTAACTAAGATAAAATCCAAATTTTAATAATTTAATTGTATAATATTAGATTGATTTTAGCGCTTAGCCAATCAAAATTGAAGTATCTACTAAAATTTAGATTTTATCTTTAGTTAAGATTTCGAGAAACAGGGCCCTGTTTTTTGGGGGGATATTTATGTTGAGGTAAATCATGCAGGGTTCACGCCAAATTTAAACTTTTTACTAGGTTATGTTTTTAGTGAAAACTATTAGAGAATTTGTACAGGACTGAATAATTATCAGTTAAAAAGTTGATATTACAACGATTTCAGTCAATCTGTTTTCTCTACCATTCTTGTGTAGCAAATTACACCTCTACTGCTTATTTGCTCCTTTTGGTTTTCGTGAAAACAAATAGAAGACTAACCTGGAAATTTTTTGTTAATTATTTATTTTGAATTGTGTGTGTGTATATATACCTAATTCATCCATTTTGCTCTAACAAATACTTTTGTGCAGCACATTGCACGTAGGTACTGCTTATACACTGCTTTGGTTTGGGAGATTAAACTGTTATTTTTTTTTAATTTTGATTTGATCTACAGAAATCCATTAGATATTATATAATTAATGTACCAGAAAATCCATTAGATATTATATTATGTATAATGTACCAGAAAATAAACAAATTTTGAACATATCTATTCTGTTTTGTGGTTTTATGGAACAGTCGTAACTCGCCACATTTTTTATGATGTAAATAAAACTTAAAGATACATTATAGAAGATTAGTTGGCAGTTCTCACTATAATAGTTATAAACTAGATAATGTAAAGACAATTTGCTGAAAATTTCATTCAAATTGATCCACTATGAACCAAGAACTAAGCGAATGAAATTTCTGCCTAGCCACGATCATCATTACTAAAGTCAGTACGATAAACAGCATAGTCTCGACTATCCATTTAATCGTTAAATCGTGAAGGAAAGTTATGCAGTAAATCGGCTCATAATCCACTAAAGGGGGCAGGCTAGCGATGCCATCTAGAGTTGATTATGGTCTGGATAGGTTAATTATTGTCTAATTTATTTCGTTCACGTGACGAGATGTTGACATTTACGCCCGCTTTCACATTGGGTGATATCACGGTCAGATGTAAACATTAAGGCCGTCTGCAGATTTTCGTCAAGATTTAAACAGGATTAAAGCAGGTGATTGCTGTCGAGGATTGGATTGTGGGTTAGGGTAAGTGCTAGAGTTGCTGTCATTTGAGTCTAGTGGCGTGGTTTCTATTCCCCGCCTGTACGTGACACGGAGTAAGGTCGCCTGTCCAATCTCGTTGGTTTTGTCCGGTTTACTCCAACTGCTAAGAAAATCCTAAAATAAAATTGAACCATATGTTAGTCCCGAAATGACCTAGTTTCAATTGTCGCGCGGATGTTCCCCCCCCCTCTCACCGATGACAGACTGACAGAGAGAGAGAAATGGGGTTTAACATCCACTCGACACAAACTAGTTCATTTGGGGACTAACATAATGGTCCAAGTTTATTTCAATAATTCATTTGCACATAGGAGTCATTAGCAGTGGGAGGACCCAGAGAAAACCCATGAGGTTGGACAAGCGACTCTACTCCTTGTCACGTAAAAGCCTGACTAAACAAATGTACACATCATATCGAATATTTTATTATTGACTGAAATCAAAGAGGTTGTGCCATCTTAAAGCCTTAATGCGTTAGGGGTGTTTTGGGCATTTCCTTATTTACATTTAAATGATGGGTATTGATTCGGTAGAAACGAAATGAGGTTTAACGCCCTAAGGAAAATTTTGCCCGGACAGCGGCGCTACGGCCTACTCTTTTATCGAATTCCAACTGCCAAGGGATCTTTTACGTGCACGTCAATGTGTACGCGGGACTTCGATTTTTCGTATCATCCGAACGACTAGACAACCACGCCGGAAAATTCCGATGAACATTCCTGGCCAACACCTGGATCGAACCCACGGCCTGCAGGCTAGCTAGCCAGCGTCTTACTCACTTAGCCGCCGTGGCTCCTGAGACGTTGAACCCCGTACCATTATATTGTTGGACGGCTGCGATTGGATATATGTTTCAAATCTCCTCCGAACAAAAAAAAACACAAGGACACAAGCTCAATTTTTTTAATGCTTTGCTAAACCACAAGATAAATGATTCATTTGATCAAGATGACTTAAAGAGTTATTTCCCCTTGCCTTTAAAATAAATATCTGATAAAAGTTAACAAGTCTATTAAAAACATAAGTTTGTGATGAAAAGAAATCTACCAATCTACAGCAAAAATAAATGTTTATTAGTCCATGTAAACATCAAATAACATGAAATACATCTACCGAACTATGATGAGTAAACTGTTTATTAGTCATAGTAAATACCAAATAATATATAAATGAAATGGGGTTTAACGTTCTACTGTTCTGCTCCTATACCGGGCTAATGAAAACGGACATACGCCATACAGTGTGCTATGAGGGAACTTTTGCCCGGGCAGCGGCACTATGGCCTACTCTTATATCAAATTCCAACTGACAAGTGATCTTGTACGTGCACGCCAATGTACCAAATAATATAAACGAAATCTACCGAACAATAATGAATATAATATTGTTTATGAGTCCTAGTAAACATCAAATAATATAAACGAAATCTACCGAACTACAATGCACAAAAATATTGTTTATGTCCAACTAAATATTAAATATTATGAAGAAATCTACCGAACTACAATGAATATCGAATTGTTTATTAGTCACACTAGATATTAAATAATATAAAGAAATCTACAATTAATATTATTTTTTATTAGTCCCAAGTACAAATCAAAAGTAATACTTTAAAATTGCGATGAATGTGCAAGCTTTATCCATGGAAAACGCCAGTTGAAGAGTATTTTCACCAGAACTACATATATATATATATCTTAGGCAACGAACATACGACCACTGCAGCCAAGACGTCCGTTTATTTCACAATAATGTTGTTGTACATTAATTATTTTTAGTAACGAGAAAAATAAACTGATCAAGGGTAACAACCTGTGAAGTAATTACCAGAAATAAAATTTATTATACTTAACATGTACCCGCAATCCGAAAAGAAATTGAGTTTAACATCCTACTTTAATGCACTGACTGGGATAATAAAGACGAACAAACGCCATGCATTGTGCTTTGGAGGAAATTTTTCCCGGACAGCGGCACTGCGGCCTACTCTTATTTTGAATTCCAACTGCCAAGGGTTCTTTCTACGTTCACGTCAATGTGTACAAGAGACCACTTTTTTTTTCAGTGCCATCGGAAAATCCTGAGGAAATTTCTTAGTCATTCGGTTCATTAACACAAACATATTTTGTAAATTCCAAATAAACACTGTCTATAAATTGTATATCAATCGGATGTAGACTTGTGTCTCTGGATAACCACAGGATCTTTTATATTGATCAAGAACGATAATTCTGACAGTAAATATCGAAGGGAGGGACAATACACGACATCATGTTAATGTCAAATAGCTTGTTATATCGTTATTAACTTTTTTAACCAACTGCCGAAGATCTGCAAATAGGTACGTTTCAATACGATGCTTCTTGTGAATGTTTAAAAGCCCGTGTTGGGGGATCGGGTGTTCTGTGTGTCATGGTTTCGAGCAGAGGTCTGTATGTGAACAGACACTTAATTAGAAGTCAAGCTACACTGTAACAAAAATTTCCGTGAAAAAACGTAAAAATTTCCGGAAACAAAAATTACCAGGAAAATTTTATCCGTATTTGTTTTTCCTGTAATTTACAGAAATTCCCTCAATTAACATAAATTCCATTTTCAAATACAGAAAAAAAAATCCTGGTAAATTTTGTTTCCTGACGATGAAGGTGATAAAAATTTCATTGAATTAACCATTGACTTTATACGCGTGCGTGAAATAGCTTTATTTAACGTCCGCTTCCACCGAAGTGATACCGCAGATAATCTTTAAACGTAACCTCTTTTCGCTAATATAAGAATCGAGAGCAAGGTATCACAAACCGCTACTCGTCAGTGGTTGGAGGCTTTCAGATGTAAGTTTGCGGTATTATCAATTGACAGGTATGTAGACTCTGCCATAGAGACAAGCCGACTTACACTGGTCAACCGGTTATCCGGATTTAAGCGTGCTTGATTACAAGATATTACAACCTTAACACATGCAGCATTAAAAAATATTTTTATACATTCATGAAAATACTTACAATCTGATTTCCGTATGATGAATCACAATACACTTTATAGATCTTATAAATAATCGAAATTAGATGACAATTAATATAACAAACTTTACAAAATATGATTCTTCATATTATGGTTAATAAATTGAAATGAATACTATAACATGATGATTATTAGGAATGATTATATATGTATACGATTACTTATCGTTGCACCGTTTATCCCGTAAAATAACAGAATTGAGTCCTTTACAGAACGGAATAAAACATTTTATCCCTAAATTTCAAGGAACTTCCTTGTCAATCCACCGTTTATTCCGTAAAATTACAGAATTAAGTCCATTATAGAAGGGAATGAAACATTTTATCCCTAAATTTCACGGAAATTTCCTGTTTAATACTGGATATTCCACAGAAATTCATAAAACACGTAATTTGAAGAAATAATTTACACTATTAACACAATTTCTCCAAAAAGTCCATCGATTAACAGAAAAAAGGTGTTAAATTACGGAATTCGGCCACATAAAGAAATGGATATTTTTTACAGTGTACATGTTGTGATATCCTTTATTGAGACATGATTAGAAGTTAAGCTAAATGTTGCGATCGTTCTATATGATTAGAAATTGATCGTTTCGAGTAAAATGCAAATAACGCATCGTTATATTTAAAGGTACACGTATGGTGTCTTTTATTGAGACACATAATTAGAAGTTTGCAACTTTAACTCCTCGCTTACTGACTTCAGATCTTTTACCATTTGGGTAAGTTGTGCCAGATCTCGGTTCATGCTATTAGTCAAATTCAGGAGTTGATCCATTGCTCGGTCTTCTCTTTTATAACTTAATTGTATTAAACTTAATTGTATTAAAGAGCTCTCTGTGATAGCCGTATCGACTAGTACAGAATCAATATTAGAGATTATAACTTTGCATGTTTCCTTTAATGTCGTCGGTATTGTAGACGACTGGATAGCCAGATTAGAAATTGCCAGTTTATCTATAATTTGTTTGTGCAATTCATCCCCAGTCTTCAGCAGTTTACTTAATTCCACTTTCGTGGCCTGTGTTCTGTGAATGTCTTCAACCGTAGATCTGATCACTGAGAACCCTTGAATTGTGCCAGCCATAAGAACCACCAACCCTGAAATGGGAGTTATTACAATCAAAGCTGAAGTGGACATGAATGCCAGTGTTCCAATTACATTCACCATACCAACAATACCAGAGATTGAGCTAATGACTTTATATTTGTCCAATGAGCTTCGTTTCTCAACCAGTTCTGTAACAATAATCGTTTCTCTGTTGCCAGCGAACGCTTCTAAAAGATCTATCAGCTCGATAACTGCAAAGAGACAAAGGGTAAGAAAAACAATTAGAATCATGCTCCAAAGAGCGAACGAGTACGTATACATTATCACCAGCTGGCTTGTATAATGGAGTGTCTATAGGTCTGGACAGCGCCGGGATAACCAGTGGGGGCTAGTTGGGCTCTGGCTTAAGGGTCATCCACATCGCCCCAAACTCCTAGAAACAAAATGTTATTCGCGTAAAATACACTGTAGGTAGGCTTGATTTGAGGAGTCCCGATTCCCCCTTGCATCGGGCTATCAGGTGATGGGAGGAGACCTCTCAATCAGGCTACACCACAGCACCCCTCCTAGGAAAACATAGCTTATTCGTGTCCACAACTGCATAACGGATTGTTTGCATTCATTAGTAAAGTCTGTCTCAGATGGGCTTTTCCAAGGCAGTGTGTAGGGGGACTCCGTGGCGACACCACAATAACGCAGCATATCACCTACACAACATGTACGTCTGATAACGCAACCATTGCGTCACCATAGCCGTCGCAAACAAAGCATCGTGGTTTTTGGCTGCAAGTTGCTCGCTAAAGACTAGCAACCTGACCCAAATATTGCGTTACTATTTGCAGACTACTGAGGCACTCGTGTAATAAAGGCTTAAGGGGTCGGTTGCATCCGTAAATCGGAATTTGATGGGGTCCCCGCAGGTTAATCCGGCCTGTCCTGCTGTCCAGACCTATAGACACCCCATTATACAAGTTAGATGGGGATAATGTGTACATACTCGTTCTTGAGCTAATTCCTTCATTCCAATACATTCTAAAATTAATTAGGCTACGGTATAATATTCCACAATATCAAGTAAGCCTGACAACTTAGTATAATTTCTTAAAAGATGTTTAAGATTCTAGCTAGGATTGGTTATTAATGTGCAGACAACGTAGTATAACTTCTTAAACGATGTTTAAGATTCTAGCTAGGATTGGTTATTAATGTGCAGACAACGTAGTATAACTTCTTAAACGATGTTTAAGATTCTAGCTAGGATTGGTTATTAATGTGCATCCCTTGAAAATAAACCATGCGGTTTTCAACGCTATTGCCCATAATGCTCGACCAGAGTCAAACATATGCAACAAATCTAACTGTAGAACCTTTCACATAAACTATTTGGACCTCACAATCACAATCTCCCCGGAACCCCCAAACCATATTAATATTGCGTTTGTGTGCACATCATGGGTCTTGTTCCCCATGCAAAATCAGTGATTGAAACGTTCGTGCTAGACGGTCCCTTTGTCGTACTATCTTCGAACCTCCTGGTGCTACCCTTTTTCATCATCCTATACTCTTTGGCACCTTGCCCTGCCACAGTATATTACACCTACACCAGGTTGTTACTGGTATATTTAAACTTTTATTCATGTAACCGCGGTAGCTTAGTGCGTAAGGCATTGGCTCGTTAACCAGTACGTCTCGGGTTCGCCTCCGGGGTTGGCCGAGAAAGTTCATGTGCTTTCTTGTGTGATTTGCCCGCGTCAGTGATGCAGGGCGGGAGGCTGGCAAGGAAAATTGTTTAGTTGAACCTGGGATCTCCTGGTTAGCGAGCTGGTGCCACTAATTGGGCCACTGTGGCTCCATTTACTATAATTAATGAACTGTACCTGATTGAACAGATAATGAATGCTTAGTAACATTTGTTGGGTTATCTTCAGTTACATTCGCCAATATCTCTGGTAGTGCGAGTTTCGGACGAGTTTCATTTAGGTTTGCCTGAGCGCAAGCAATGGCTGGTATCAAATCTGGTATAGCTTCTTGGACACAAACTTGAATTTTATGTGCCAGTTCCGGGTTTGGTTCTAGCGGTATAGATCGCAACTCACTGTCCATAACATACATGTTGACATCAATTTTGATGGCAAATGGAGTGCCTGAATGAGATGAAAACATTGTATATTATATATATAATATATATATATAAGCATGAATTTAATGATTGATATTTACTGGAGCATGACTTTAATGAATGGTATTTATGGGAGATTTAAATTGATGTATATTTAATAATGGAAGTATGCATTTAACGAATGATATTAATGGGAGCATGTAATTTATGAAAGATATTAATGAAATTAATGAATGCTATTAATGGGAATATCTAATTATGGAATTTTTTATGGGAGTATGAACTTAATGAATGATATTAATGATCATAAATTAATGTATGATATTAATGGGAGCATGACATTAATGAATATTAATGGGAGCATGACATTAATGAATATTAATTGGAGAATGCAGTTAATGACTGATATCATTGGGATCATGAAATTAATGGGAGTATGAAATTAGTGAATGGTTTTAATGAATGATATTAGTGGACTTATATAAATGGGGGCATGTAATTAAAGATTGATATTAATGGAAGCATGAAATTAATGACTGATTTAATGTGTACATGAAATTAATGACTGATATTGATGGGGGCGTTAAATTAATGACTGATATTCATGGGAGTATGAATTTAGTGAATGTTTTTAATAGGGGGGAGAGAGAGAGAGAGAGAGATAGAGAGAGAGATGCTTTAACGTCCACTAGACACAAACTAGGTCACTTCGGCACTAACATGGTTCAATTTTATGTCCATAATTCGCTTGCGTGTAGGGGTCTTTAGCAGTGGGAGGAAACTGGAGGACCCGGAGAATACCCACGAAGTTGGACAGGCGACCCTACTCCTTGTCACGTACAGCTGGAGAATCCAAACCACGCCAGTTGATTCAATGACAGACTTTATGATACAGCGCGCACATGCTAACCATTCAGCCATGCTAACCATAGTGACAGTTCTCGCTATAATAGTTCAAAATAAATAATGAAAAGGGAATGTGTTGAAAATTTCAATCAAATTACCTCAATCTGAGCGGAGTTATGGTCGATTACAGAACAGTGTATTGTCAAGCTACCATTGTCACGATAATAAACAAAGTCTCGATTATCCGTTTTTAAATTAAATCATTAACTGGTAATGTATTTAAATCTGTTGAAAAAGATCTAGAGTATCCGATGGCATCGAGAGTTAATTTTTGGTCTTGACAACTTAATAAATGTCTAATAAATAATTTATATAGCATTTAAAGCCCTTAAGAACGAGCTGGAATATGTAGATTTAGCTCTTGAATAGTTTCTCTTTAAGCAAACACAGCTATCTATATTCTGTCCGGGTGATATTATCCCCCTTTTGGTCGGTGGGAATGAGGGGATGGGGTGGCTTGCGACGGAAGACGAGACACAGACGTAAATTTCAAAATCTGTATGTTAAAATAGTTTGAAATACAAACAAAATGAACCTGGGTGAAGTATAAAATCTTCGTTACAATTCTGTAGTTTTTGGAACACTGTTGGATAACCATTTGCAGTCAACGCTGTTAAAAAGCCACCATAAGCTGTTGGTCCACGTCGCCTCAGTGTATTAAGTAATTTTCTAGCAGCCTCGCGTCGGCTTTTTGACCGGAGGGTGCATATTTCTTCACAGTCGTCATCATCTAATATGAACTCACTATACAGCCTATCAATCAGAAGGTCCGGGTCAATCTGATCCAGAAGCTCATGGTAATTGCGTCTGATTTTCACCCAGTCTTTGTCTGGCATTTTCTCACGGCAGATTTGTTTAGGATTCTTCTCCATTTTTGGAGATCCTTCCTGGCTTCAGATTATCCCAGTAAGCCTACACCTGAAAATAAAACAGGAATAAATCCAAACATAATCCCCCAATTTACATGGACTTCAGACACATTATATTAAGTCTTCATCTATTTGTGCGCATGTGTATGTCTTATTTGCATAGTGGAACAGCGCCAGTTAACTCTTTCGTATTTTAAACCTTTTTTGAAACCTTCGTACTGACAACAACGACAAGGCCTTGAAAAAGATTCCAAAGACTTGTAAAAGTTGATGATGTCGGCGACTGCTATGAATCCTTTATAGTGTCGCTGTGCTAGTTTCACTTAGATTTGAGAAAATTGGATTCGGTGTCAATTATTTTGAGGATATTGGGGCTGTGCGATGGGCACTATAGAATGGGACCGCGTATTACATGATGGGTTCATGCTGGTATTCGCATCGAAGTTGAATTGAAGCCCCTATTCGCGGGAAAAATGGTACAGGTTTAGTATATTATATATAGACCAAATAAATTAGTACCCAATACGTACACGGTTCGTAACAGCAAGGCTAAACCAGGAGACATATGTCCCGTCTTCTATATCGAAGTCGGAGCAGAACAGTAGGACAAATGCAGCAAACAGACTCTCTCTCTGTCTCTGTCTCTCTCTCTTATATACCATGCACATGGCATTGATCAAAATATTGATATATGAAAGTGAACTGCGTAAAACATAATACACTGTACATCCCGATTTGATCGTCATTTATTTCCGGGAAATAAAGTTCGCGTGTTATCAACGTCGTGGCAGAAAATATACGATTACCCAGACAAAAATTCATATTTAATACTTAGATCGTATTCGGTCCATATATATATATAGGTATATTATCATCAAAATGACTTAACTCCCCGCCACATATCGCCTCAACGTCAAAAGTTAGCTCTGGATGAAAGCGGTTTATGTAGCTGTTACTGTAAACTTTAAAATTTAAAATTATACACTAGGTACATTAATACCAGGTTTAGACGAGATTGTCTGGTCTCGGCACATTGATATGTAGGCTATACTTTATGCTATTAAATATAGTAGGCTATAAACTATTAGTCACAAATACCTAGTTCGATATATTAATTAAACATTAAGTTAGTATATTAGAGATCGTTTATACCGATTAAATATATATATATTTATAAATATTATCGTCTTTTCTCCATTAGGATTGCCACTTACCTTAAGAAAACAAAAGAATTGGAAAAACCAATGGGCTATTTATAGAGCTGTAGCTGATTGGCTAATGTTATACCGCCCTTCACCTTACTATATTATGGTAATATTAGTTTATTGACAATTTCAAGAGCAGAGTCCAGGAGAAGAACGATCTAAGTCACATTTTTATCTTTTCGCATAAAAAGCAAAACAGACTTTTGGACGAGAATGATTGACGCGAACAGAACAACGAGTGGGTTTAATTACAACTTCGAAATAATGTTTAATTCGAATCATAATTACCAGTAGGCTGCAACTGACTTCAAATTTTCAGGCAAATTAAGGTTAAATAAAGGGTACGATGGACGTATTTGTCCGGGAGTCCATTTCAGAAGGGCCTTGGTTCGATGTGACTCCGGTCGTTTTTACCTGAAATCGATTTTTACACAGACAGCTCACAGTTTGCTACCAGATGCGCCATTAACTGGGGTAGCCCACGTTCTTCCCCGGGGCTCTTCAAGTGTGTGTCTATCTTGCAACTGTTCGCTAGCATTTGCGACCTAGAAATTGACACACATGAGTCGCAACGCATATAATAATGTAATATGAATGTATATAAACTGATTTACATTCAATCGTTTCCGTTTTTACTCTAATTTCAAATCAGTTATGTTCGGCGAAATACGCCAGAAGTCTCAATCGAATGGCAATCTCTAGCGTCTAGTTATTCCAGTATACGCCGATAGTAATTTATGCTCTCCAGATAAGAATATGGCATCACCTTGTTACAAATGGCGATTGGCGATAAAACGCATTAGGGTACCGTACACGATTCGTGTACCTATTCGTGTATATTTTGTCTTAAATATTGGATATCAGAGGCCCATCTTTTCCTGGTAAGATCATAACATCAATGTTGATTTAAATTGACAAATAATCCATGTTGTCAATGTAGAAGACTTTAGATGATATTGAGTTAAGACTTACTTTAATATAGATCAATATTTCTTCGTTGTATAATCATTATTTATAGAATAATAATAATCGAGCTTTGTATTTGATATAATATTATAATTTAAATGTTGAACACATAGGCTACATACATCAGTGCAATTTCAAGACTGAATATAAATTGAGTCTAAAATAAATGCCGTAGAAACTTTAGGATGAAATCACAATTTAAATTTTGATTTATTTATCAGCAAAAGTTTCCCCTGCCAACACCGACATCCAAATGGAACACGGAACTTCTTGATTCGGAATGATTGGGGAGTAGGCCTGATACCGGGTTAATGTAGCAGCTAACTGCATTAAACAGAGGAATTATTCAAATATGTCAACATTGCATGGCACAAATATTCCTCGCGAACTACCCTTTTACTAAAGTCCATTAGTCACTCGAAGTTATGGCCTGATAGAGACCAAAATCCTTTGATCGTATATATGTTATGTATTATATAAATCGGACCAACAAATAGTGGTCTCTAGAGTCCCAAAGACTGTATACGTATATGGACCATAACCCAAGATTTGCGGTCTAATGCAGATCGTTGGGTCGCTGACATATGTCGACAATGTCGTGTGTTTCATCTGAATCAGACCACAAATTGTGGCCTCTGGATTCGGGTGGAGGGTCCACAACTTTCGCACACATTTGATAATTATACGTAAAAGGCAGGGCCATAGCCAAAGAAGTAGTGGCCCGATGCACACCAAGATCGGACTTATCCGAGATATGTTGAACGTAAACATACATTTATTTTAATCTCTTCTAGGTTATCCACAAAAAAATGTGATACCGGACTGACGGACATGGGCGACAACATATTACGTCCACAGGAAAATGTGGGCGTCAAATATCAGTCCAGTCGGTCCCCACTAATCCCTTAGTCAAATGGGCCCTTTCTCACAAGGGACAACGTATTGTCGTTCGAATGGTACGAAACACCGAGGTCCTGTGTACAAATTTGCATTCACATAGAAGATCTCCTAAAGTATCTGATGTGACCATTTAAGTCTTATTTCACAGTCAGAAATCGGTAATCGAGTTTTATGCGATTCATCCAACCATCCAATGGGCTTACGTATTGTGAAGTAATCGATATCAAATGGGGTTTTCCCAATAACGACTTTTAATGCAGATGTTATGTCACGAAACAAAATATAACCATATCATATGTTGAAATATAACCGGATAACTATGGTCGAATTAGAAACAGTACAGACCTAAAAACAGCAAAAAAAATATTTGTCTATTCAATGTAACTTCTCGTCTTGACATGCATGCATTTCCATACTGGTGTATCTTCCCTCGTAGGAGTCTTTGTCAGTGGGAGGAAACCAGGGGACAAGGATGTAAGACAGGCACAACTAAACAGCAACATATTTACTTGTATTGCCGTTGATGTTTGTCATAATATTATTGTCCTCCAATGGAGGATACATCAGTTACTTTCCGGAACTTCAAACAGGCTTAATCTATAACCAAGATAACGCTGTTAACGTTTCCTACCGCTTAATACCCAACATACTTGATAAATTCAAAGACATGTGTCCACTTTGACACACCGTGGATAAGTCAAGTAAAAGTAAAGATTCCAGCCACTTTGCAGATGAAACCTGCTTGACACCCCGAAATATCAGCCCATAAGTGGTTATATTCCGTTCAGTGGTTACATATTTACAGAGATGCAATGAACTAAAATATATTTTATTCATGCTGCTCCCTATGCAAAAGATACATAGCCATCTTTATGTTTCGTAAAATCTAACTGATGAGTACATTTTAGCGTGAATTAAACCGTTACTTTAATAAAAAAAAAAGACAAACACACATAGTTGTTATTATTGTTTATTACATAATATATATTATGATTAGAGTTGTTATTCATTATAATTTGAACGTCCAATATATCTATTATGATATTAGAGTTGATATTGTTGTTTATTATAATTTGAACCTCCAATATATTATGATATTAGAGTTGTTATTGTTATTTATTATAATTTTAACGTCCGATACATTGATTATGATATTTAGAGTTGATATTGTTGTTTATTATAATTTTAACGTCCAATAAATTATGATATTAGAGTTGTTATTGTTATTTATTATAATTTTAACGTCCAATACATTGATTATGATTATTAGAGTTGATATTGTTGTTTATTACAATTTTAACGTCCTCCGTCCTGCAACACTGACAAGGAGAAACCACACCGGAAATAATATACTATTAATTAACAGCATTGCGTATAGTCGCCGGAAACTATGTTACAGAATTGGGCCTCAAAGGATTCCAAATTATCTATTAGCAAATAAATTTCCCCCAGGTCATCTTCCATTTCATCAGCAATGTTTATGAAAATTTCAGCTAATTCATGCGGTTTTTCGTTGTGGATATTCTTCGATCGGTCAACTATTGTATAGATATCAACTGGTAACAATACAACCGAGCTGACAGCCCCCGCTACTGCAAACCCCCTTGAGGCTCCTTTAAGGGCTCTGAATGCAGTACATCCAATGTCAACAGCTACGTCTGCAGCACGAACTAACTGAGATATGGTAGAAACCACAGTTTTAATTGTTTTAGGGATAGTCCAACCTACGGATTTCATTGATTTAAATACAACCTTAAGCAATTGCCATTTTTCAGCAAGTTGTTTATACAACTTGTCACCTTTCGCGAGGAGTATATTCAATTTCTTTTTATTTTTACGCGACTTTAAAAAGTCGGTGAGTTCAGCACATGTACTAGTGACCGATCCTACCCCGCCAATACCAGCACCAACAGCTGTAAGCGCCAAAGAGGCCCCGAAGGTGAAGAAGCTGGCCACAAATCCACCAATGGCTAATCCAGAACCAACAATCCCAGCAGCACTACCCGCGATCTGACCGATGCGGACACTCTTTCCCATTGCGTTTAGATTCTCACTTTCTTGTCTCAGAAATATAATTATAGAGCTACGGTTATCTTTCAGCTCTTTCAAAATATGGATGAACTCGGAAACCAATATAAGTCTCCTGAAATATTAAATTACAGTCAATGAGCAAAGATTCATTGTCAAACCAACATTCATCACACCTCACTGTGTGAGTGTCCTACCCTATTGTCTAGACCAGTGATTCTCAACTAGTGTGCCGCGGCACACAGGTGTGCCGTGAAAATTTGAACGGCACACTAAGAAAATGTGAAAAACCACGTGATCATATTTGAATATTCACTGGTGCATACTGATAAGTTTTGACTTACCATGGTTTTATTTTGCAAAAATCGAATATTTTTCATATATATTTAGCCAGGTGTGCCGCTATTTCTCCATGTGTTCCAAGGTGTGCCGTTGGCAAAAAAAGGTTGAAACCACTGGTCTAGACTATGTAGTACAGTTTGGTACAAACATGCATGAGAGAGAGAGAGCGAGAGAGAGGGAGAGAGGGGGGATAACCGACACCAACTAGGTCATTTCGGGACTAACATTAGACAATTCTCTTGCCCAACCCCGAGGTGGATTAAAAGCTATAGATCGATCCTATAGTAGGCTAGGTTCTATATTAAAGATACATTATGTCTGCGCGCTAGATAAAATTGTAGAATATTATGTCAGTCCCGTCTAGTTTTGGCAGTAGAATGGTCTAATGCCAGATCTTTAGATCATAATATCTCTCTCTCTCTCTCTCTCTCTCTCACAGCAATTGTTTATATAGCATTAGTCAGTATTAAGTACATACTCATTCCATTCA